CAGCATTCTGATGTTTTAAAAATGTATTGAGGTTTGCTTTGTGGCCTAACATATTGTCTATTCCTAAAAATGTTCCATGTGCACTGGAGAATAGGATATATCATGCTGTTGTAGGGTTGAGCGCTCTGTGTATGTCTATGAGGTCAAATTGGTTGATTGTGTTGTTTAGATCTTTTGTGCTTTTTTGAGTTTCCTTCTAGTTGTTTTGTCCTTGATCAAAAATGGTGTATTGAAGTCTCGTACTAATGTCAGCAACAAGGAGCTCTGGTAGCATCATGGTTACGAGTCAAGTTGCTAGCCTCAAGGTCAGCAGTTCGACACTGCCAGCTGTTTCACTGGAGAATGATGAGGCCTTTTGCTCCCATAAAGATTTACAGCCTCAGAAACCCTAAAGCAGGGTCACTATGAGTCGGAACCAACTCCACAGTACACCACCACCATAATCAGCAATAAGAAAAACTATTGTTGTGGAATTGTCTGTTTCTTTCTTCAGTCATATTTTTTTATTTATATATTTGGAAGTTTTTCCATTGGGAACATAAATATTTATTATGGTTATGTCTTCTTGTTCAATTGATCCTTTAGCCATGATATAATGTCCTTCTTTCTCTCTTACACTAGTTTTTCTTTAAAGTCTATTTTATCAGAGATTTTTTATTGTCAATCCTGTTTATTTTTTGTTGCCATCAGTTTGACTTTATTTCCCCATCCTTTGATTATTAGTCTATTTTTTACTTTGTTTGTAAGTTGTGTCTCTTACAGACAGCGTATTGAAGAACCTTGTTTTCTAGTATAATAGTATTAAGAGATTTATCTTCAAGATCACTAATTGGAGCATTCAAATCTACTCCTTTGTTCTTTCAATGTATTGTCCATTTCCAAAATCTTAAAATTAATCTTGTAAAATTCTTTTTGCAGGCTTTGTTAGTTTAAAATATTTCATTTATTTTGTCTTTTTGTTCTTGTAGTGTCTTCCTAATTTCTTCTAAAGTTTTTTCTGTGTTCTTGCTTCCCTCAATCTTTCTTGGAATCCATTCGAAGTACCTAACTATCACTCTTCTGAATCCTTTCTCTGGTAGTTCCATTGTCTTTTCTTCCGTAGAAACCTTTTCTGGCTCTGCAGCTTGGACATTTGTTTGAGCCACTATCTTTTGTTTCCTTGTGACTGAAATTTCAATGTGACTGAAATTTTTCTGTTGTCTCAGAGACATTGTGGTATTGTGTTTGTACTCAATTGATGATTGTATGTTTGTTTAATTTTAGGTTATCACCAACTGCCTCCTGGTGGATGTAATTAGAGAATGTTGTAATTAAACAAGGTTGTATTCACCATTTTTGCAGTTCAATTTAGGATGGTTTTGGCTGGTGTTGGCTACTGATAAGTTGTTAC